GACAAGTTGAAAGTTTTGTCATACTGTAAAAGTGTGCCAAAAGTGGGCGCTGTAGGTGCAATAGTTTTCGCACAATTCAATTTGTTTATAGCGGAGGCTCCAAAAGTTATGAAGTTTAAGCCTCTGTACAGGTGTTAATTTTCAACCAAACATGATTCTGAAAGTGTCATTGTAATATTAAAGACGTAATTAAGCGACCTATTAAAAAATATCACCGGTTTTTTGACATTAACATTCTCAAATTGTGCATTAAAAAACCGTGCGTTTTTCGCTTATATACAAAAACGGTGATATTTTTTAATAGGTCGCTTAATTACGTTTTTAAGATTACAATGACACTTTCAGAATCATGTTTGGTTGAAAATTAACGCCTGTACAGAGGCTTAAACTTCATAACTTTTGGAGCCTCCGCTATAAACAAATTGAATTGTGCGAAAACTATTGCACCTACAGCGCCCACTTTTGGCACACTTTTACAGTATGACAAAACTTTCAACTTGTCATAGGTTTTATAAAATTTTAACAATAAATGCGATAGTTATAAACAAATTAAAAACTGGGCACTTTTCTTGTTTTTTTGCAATAACTTTTTTGTTTATTAACCGATTTTAATTTAACAAGTCTCATTTTGTAGATAATTTTACTCCCTACAAACTGTCTGTGAGTCACTTTTCGCTAAAATTGATGGTTTTCCCTGCAAAGTGAAAAAACTGTTTTCCTCACTTATTTGTTTAAATAGAAAAGTTAGCTAATAAAAGTTTTTGACTCACGAGATGAGAGATGTCTAGTATTATGTTCCTTTAGACAATTTTACAATAATATCGCGGATAGGACTTTTTTCGAGGTTCTCTTTTATTTTTTCAAATTTTCCTGGTGTACTTAATTGTACTGCTTTTGTAACAAGCAAATAGGTCAGTTATTTGAGGTGCACGTATTATACAGGGTGTTTCGCATAAGAACCGACACAGATCAGGGGCACGTAGGGGAACACAAAATTACGCATTAACGCAACTTACGAAAGTGCAGGGATTTCAAATTTCGAAAAATTGATACTCTGAATCTCAAGAACCAAACCATTACGGACTCATGTTCATATGAACTTTTTATATTAAAATTAGTCAAAGATGTACCGTTTAAAGTGTGTACAAGTACTTAATAAACACCCTGTATTATTCGTTAAATCGCAATAGAAGACTGACTTTAAAATAAACAATGAACATTTTTTTAAACTTTTCTAAAAGCACATAAATCAAGTTCGTACTACAACAATATAATATTTGCTGGATAAATACCAATTTATTTAAAATGGTAGGTCCATTTCCATTATTGAAATTGTAAGCCACATCGTAAATTTCAAAGAAATTATTTTCCAATAACTTGTACATAAAACTGATGTAAATAAACACTCTCTGCGTAAGTTGTATATATAAATAAAGTATGTTTATTTTTAGTGAATATAAATAACTTTATTGCTAAATTTTGTCGGTTCACGTCACCACTAATGTTTTAAATACTTGGCGATATGTAACCAAGTTTATCGCACGACATTAATATGAATACCACACCGCCTGTCATTACGTTGTACAGGGTGAAGGATTCACCCAGTCTCATACCGATGAAACGTGTGTATATTGACATTAAATGTAGTTTTTTCTGTTATTTCATGGCCAACGCAAAAAACGGACTGTACCTATATATATATATATATATATATATAGCGAACTCGACGTAATTGTCACGTAAAAATGTGGGGATAATAAAAAATAAAATTACATCCTGTATGTCGAAAAGGATGTGTTTTTTATTGAACTTTTCAGTGTCACGCCTTAAAAAAATGTTTCTGAACGTAAACGCGGAAGGAATGTACCGATTATTGCTAAATTGAAACGATTTAGATGTTCAAGGATTCTAATGTAATCTAATATAAAGTCCATTCACTAAATTTTGGTGGTAATAGGAAAAAAATTAACCAAGTCTGGAACGGTCGCACTAACAAATTCATTTTTCTTAGCCTACTTCTCGGTAGTGTCGAGTAAATCGTAGCTGGCTGCGGAGAACATTCTAGATGTGTGTGATACCCAGTTATGATTTCTCCAGCCATGTTACTGCGTAAGGGCAATCATTAACAGAGTAACAAACGATATTAAGTGTTTCTTACATTTTTTTTAAACGTTGCAAAATGGTGCGACTTATGTAACTCCAATCGACTTGCCTCTAATAATCCAGCAGCTGTGTAAGATTGTTTTTTTTTTCTCTCAGATTTATTGCTGCTGCTCTCTCCGTAAAAATTATCGAAAGTGATAGTGTTGGCTTCAGCAGTTCTCAAAGCGGGCTGATGCAACTTGTTCGCCTTTACTGTCATATAACGTTTGGGGGATTTCGTAGAGTTTACCAAGATCAAGAGGTGGGTAATAAACGAAGGCGCAAATTTTAGATTTTTGATTTAGGTTTCGATAAAAAGAACGAAAATGACGATATGATAGAAGTGACAAGTCCGAACGACTAAATAGATAACCCTGAATGCTCTACAGAAAAGTATGTTGTCGGTATGTCTAATTGCTAATAAATTTATATATTTTTTTTCATGCTAATTTAGTTATTATAAATTTTATCAACTTTTCCCATTTCTAATAGGGAAATTTATTTATACTTTTCAAAATAGCCACCGATATCGCAATTTGACAAAAAAAGTTACATACCGAGTGAAATCTTTTTCACGAATTACAAATGGATTCGCGAAATGTGCAGATGTAGAAAGGACCAGTTAAGTAGGATTTTGCGTGTGGAAAATTTAAAAACCAGCATGAGTTAATGTTAATACATAGAAAACAAACTCATTGTAACCAGGGACGCTGTTTGAATTATTAATGCACCTACGTATTAGTGGCAACAGGATTTTTCCATGGTTCAGTTTTTTTTTACCATTCCAATAAAGCGTAATAGGTTCATAAAATATATAATTACGAATACGATATCAAAGTATCCCCATTAAAACATGACAAAGATAAATAGAAACGTATACGAAAGTATAAATCGATGTTAGGTAAGTATCACCTTGGATCAGGTACATTCGCGATGTACCTCAAGGAGCTGTTCCTAGGCCTCAACAGAATAACAACAAGAATAACAACTTTTTAACAGAAATGGTTAAATTTTAATTGATTTTGGCTATTTTCTTGTTTGTTGTACAATAATGAGATTTTGCTAAAAGTTAATGTAGTTTCTTAAATTTTCGCTTTTCTTTAAATGTGCATAGTAAAAAATAGGGAAAAATTGATAAGAGAGAAGGGATTACTCCTATCGAATCATTGTTTAAACATTTTTGGTGGGGAGAATATATTTCAAAACAAATAATATTCATAGTTTTTAAATGTTCTGTTGACATTTTTAAAATCTCTCAAGAAAAATTTTAAAAAATTAGGAAATTATTGTATATATGTCTACCTATACATATAGTGTGTCCCTATACAAATGCACCCTGAAGAGCAAAAACTTTTCTGTTTGCAAATTTATTATGCTTGTCCTCGAACTTTTACTGCTCTCTTAATTTTATTAGAAGACTTTTTTGAAAAATTGAAGTGTTCACAACCAAAGTACCCAATTTTTTTTAAATATGGAAGAGATATTCTTTTTATATCAGTTAAATGATTTAGACACAAATGATAATTATTTAAAATCTATTGAATTCAGATCGGGACTTTTGGGAGGTCATACAATTTTATTGTAGTTTCCTGATTATGGATGTACTGTTAACATATGTCATTCTGAATTGTGAAATCCTATTTGGTACTACAACCTTAAAATTCAGAATATTTCCCAAAATTCCAGCATCCTGTAAGAAGTACCAAGTGGGATTTCATTATTTGAAATAATTTTAATCCAATAAAGGCATAGAAAAAAATCAGTAAAACTTTATGATCTCCCGGAAATCACGATCTGAATTAAATCAAATTTTTAAATATAATTTGTTAGGCATTTCTGATATTACGGAAAATCAGAAGTCTAAGTCGTCTGAAATGAGACAATAATATTTTACAAACCAATTGACGTTCATAGTTACAGCGTGTTTGAAAACTTAGTGGAAAAAAATTTAGTGACACTTTCTCAAAAATGTACAATTAAAAAATATTTTTCTCTTCAAGATACAATCATGTATATACCTACTCGAATTTCTTTTAATAATTATTCCAATTTGCATAAGCATAAAAATCAACAATTTTTCAAGATATTGGAGGAAATGTTAATATTGTAAAACCACTATCGTCCCATTCGCGATTACTGATTACATTAATTTGGTTACAATACTGTGGTACGCTGGCGGCATATATTAACCGATTTTGAACAGGTAATGCGTTCAGAACTGCACGTATTTTTAGAAAGGTAAATCGACCAAGCATTGCATCAGAAAAAGGCATAAACTACCTGAAATTTTGTCCAATACCTGATTTTTTAATTTTCTTAATTTCAAGTGGAAGTTTTAACAAAATTATGGTTGGATATTTTCAAATTTCGAAAATGAAGAAAAATATATCAGTCTCTAGTATTCACTACTCTTATTTTAATCAAAAGGCCGCTATACCTTCTAAAAATAAAAAATACTGGTCATTCTACACAAGTTTGTAATTTTGTTGCAACTAAATATGTAAAAAATCTGTGTACAATTTTAGATAAGTGTGCGTAAAAAATAGTATTTTTTTTCACAAATGAGATAGATAATAATCAAAAAGATCAAGTAAATCATAGTCCATTGATCCTAGAAAAGGAACTACCGGTAGAGTTTAACTTTAGAAGAATAGCTTTTTATTTTATTTGTCAATTATTTACTTTACGGAATATAAATAACGTAATTATTATACTCAAGGCTTCTGTATCTTTTTGTTATAAATAAATTGTTCTTGAAAACGTATAATCGTTTAAATCTTGCTTATTTTGTGTCAAAAAATACTAAAATTACGAAAGCAAAGGGGTTTTACAAAAGTAAAATAATTAGGAAACCTTACTTGTGAAAACTGTGTTCTAGAAAAAGATCCGCAGGAAGATCCAAGTCCCAGCGCAGAACAATCAATCACAAGGGGGGCACAGGACCGTCCACGGGAAAAAACAAATCCAGGCGAAAACCCAAAAACTGAGGATGAAATGCGGCGTTTCGTACGTCGTAGTGACAAAGCGCGGCGCGGTGCAAGTCCACTTTTATCTCGCAAGTTTCCGTAGAAGCTGCGTTTGGCGTATTAACGACTCGAGACTATCTCCACGCCATATTATACTTCCTATTCTCTCCCACCCGGCCATTAATTATTGGTTTTTCTTAATTGGACGGACCTCGACGACGACGCGGGGTGTGCGTATGTCTTTTTTTCGAAAGGGGCGGGGGGTATGGAAACGGTCCGATTTCCGAGATTTTTCTAGGGAACGCGCAAAAAAAATTGCCGGAACAGAACTTTTCGCTGACGCCACGCACGGTGAAAATTGCAAGTGAAACACCACTCATTGTCAGAGAAAAATATTCCATTCACTGCTAGCTATACGCCGCTTTAAAGATACATATCGGTACGATTCTGGCGAGTTACGCTTCTTTTTTTAACATTTTGGTTTTTACACTTTTACTTTACACAGTTACACTTTGTCGACGTTCGTAGTTTTTATTACGACATCTTGAGGACCCTACGTTTAAATCATTTATCGTTTTCATAAAAAATACAATCTTAATATTTTTTTCTTAAAATAAAATCAATCAAATGTACAGTGAATGAATGTACAATCAAAAGATTAAACACAAAAAGTACAGTAATAAAAAATTGAATATGTAATAAAAATTATTAATTTTCTTCACATTATAGGGATGTGCGCACCTTTTTATTGTACAGGGGTTGTTACATAACATTGTCTTATTGTCATCATTTTTTTTTGCTTTTTTTAATTTAGAAAAAAATGGTAGACTAAAGTTTTAATAAATTTTCTCACAATCTCTTTTAAAAAGCAATTAAATGTTGCATTTTGGAGATAAACCAAATTTTTGTTTCTTTTTTGTATAATACCTTATACAGGGTGTTTCATAATGTTGTGCAAATATTTTACGGAGGTGTTTAGAAAGTAATTTTAGGGGGGTACTTCCAATACATTTTTTCAATTTGAGAAAATATTCGAATCTCAAAATGGACGAAAAAATTAGGGTTTATTTTTTTCCTTGAAAACGGTTAAACTTAGAAATTTGATTTTGATACACGTTAACAACTAGTTGAATAATATCTTTTGACGAGTCTTTGTTTGGTTTATTCTGGTTATATGTATATATTTGTAATTTTTTTAGATGCCCATTTTTTCTGATTACTGTCATATATACATATCATATATTTCCTTTGATACTTTGCACAATATTTTGGTTTATACCAATTGGTGTATACGTGAAAAACTTTTTAAAATTTTTTATTAAGAAAATACAGGGTGTTTATTAAGTACTTGTACAAATTTTAAAGGGTGCATCTTAGACTAATTTTAAGATAAAAAGTTCATATGAACATGGGTTTGCAACGGCTTGGTTCTTGAGTTACAGAGCGTCCAAAAAAAAATATGTTTTATATTATTTTGTTTAAATATTTGTTCAATAACATGGCAATTTGACGAAATTCGGGAAACTGGGAGGATTGATGATGAGAAACTCAAATATTTACTTAGTTTTTTTGTTTAATGTTAGACAGCACCACATACAGTGTTGTACCTGGATTTAAATAACCATAACTTTTTTGTGTCGCAATGTATGACATTTTTGACTAGATATACCTATTATCCATTCAATTTTAAGTACCTACATAATATACTCTTAGTATTTGTCGCTGAAAGCAACCGTTTTGTAAAAAATCGGGTTAAAAGTTAAACCTGCGATGGAATTTTTTAAGTTGAATCATTAAGAGTTTTTGAAAAACAAGTAAACAAATGTGTCTTTTATTGATTGTGTTGCGATGTGACAAACTTAGATCATTTACAAGAATAAGACTAAACTACAAATAAGTTAATATTTACAGTAATAATTAATAACAAAAAAATTTTTTTTGGTCGCTCTGTATCTCAAGAACCAAGCCATTGCGAACCCATGTTCATATGAACTTTTTATTTTAAAATTAGTCAAAGATTCACCCTTTAAAGTTTGTACAAGTTCTTAATAAACACCTCGCATACTTTTAGTTTTATTCCGTTGATTATTAGGCTTCTGACATATCTAAATTGCCATATTATAATATTGCTGGAATGGAAATTAAAAACACAGTCTGGAGCAACTAAAATATACGAGTTTAGTCAAAAATAAGTTCTGGTGAAATTAACTTCCTGTGAAATCGGAGGTTGAATAAATAAATTACTGCTATTAAAAAAATTATAATGTGATTTCCTAAAGTTTTCTGCAGAAAATAGACGGTATATTTTTCTGAACCTTCAATTTTTTCCACCATATGTTTCTAAATTAATATTCAGTTATTTTTCTAATTCAACAATATTTTTTAAATTAGTTTTCATTTTGCTTAATTCAGAACCATTTTTTTTCAAATAAATTTTCAAATCAAAATAGATTATAATGAATTACAGCCAAACATTTCAAAAAAATCATATTTTCGGTGACTAGGTATTGTGGCGCCTACAATTCGACAATTTTTTTAAAAAAACTCACTCTAATAATAATAATCGAGATAAATCTTTAATAAATCAACAAAGTCCAAATAGATAAATAACTATAAGCTTTATTATGAATTATGTTAACAATTGAAAAACTTCGAAATTTAAATGAATTAAAGCATTTTTAATCGAGTGAGAAAAACACAATGACATTAAAATTAGCGATGCAGCTATTTCCACTGTAATTAATAGTAATTGACAAGTTCCACGTCTTTTTTTTCAAAGATTTTAAACATACTTAGAAGTAAAACTACATGGCGCTTAGAATACTAATAATTAATTGTTACAGCTATTGTAGTAAAATTCGCCGAATATTATTATGCATGATTAATGCTTACATGAATATATCAATGCAAATCAGTTTCAATGTTAAATACGCCGATTAATTGTACCATCCATAAACTGAAGGAAATACCCGAAATATTTCCTATTAAACAATGGAAGAATTAATGGAAATATGACTACGGTCGGATTAATTTTTTTTAACGCCTCTAATCATTGTCAGAATCAATTTACTTAAATCGTTATGTACGCAAACTGCTAGTCATTTGCTGACAATGTGAGTAAGTGGATGCGAAATTATGTACATGTGACTAGTCGCGCAGGAAAAATTTTTATATTCAACAAAATTCATTAATTTCGGGGTAATATGTCCATTAGAACTAAATATAAGGCTATACTAATTAATTGATTGATTCTTCAAAAGTTTCGAAAAATCAAAAGTGGGAATCAAATTTTGATTTTTTTGATGTTTCAAAAAGTACCACAAATTTAGGGAGGTAAAGATCTTATGGACCATTATTTCATACAAAAATAAAACAATACAGGGCAAGTTTTTGTCAGTTTATATCCTGGCAATCCTTTTTAAAGGTTTTGTACCTATGTTCAATCACATTTAGTCATGAAACAATTATCACTTGAACAACATACAATTAAGAAATTATTTTCTTCCAGTTTGAGGAACTTGTGAAGGAAACATGTGACTGCGTTACCGAATAATTGCTTTTACCATACTCCTGAAAAGTTTAAGTTAAAGTTACATTGTATGTAGAAAACTGTTTTTTGAAGTCGGTCGGGAAAGTTCCAAAGAAAACATTCTTAGTACTTCTTTTTATGCCGTGTAGGCAATTAAGGGAGGGCAAAGAAAACGTGTAGTTAAAACCGTGACACTGAGTGTTTCCAAACAAAACAGAAGTTCTGAAGGTCCCAGCATTTACCGTTCCTAAATCAATCTTAACTTCATCACGTTTGAACTGAATTTTTTGTGACAGATTTGTACGTGATTTTTGAGTGTATTGTATAATTTTTTACAGTAATTTTTTTTCGTCTTTAACCACTACACTAATGCGTTACTGGTGCAAATTGTTTAGCTGGGTGACCTTAATAAGTCAATTAGATTTCCAGGATGAAACTCTAAACCTTCTCGGAAAATGGAGAATACATCCTGATTAAATTATTTATTACATAAAACAAACCGTAATAGTAAGTCGCATAGAATCACGCGCGATTTACATATTTTTCACCGCAAACCCATTCAGGGAAAAAATATGAATGAACCGCGAAAGATACAGTCTTGGCCTTATCAGCAATATTATTACATTTACGTTTGTTTTGGAGTAACTGACTATTAGTCACCGATGTCAATGGAGTCGGAAAACACTAAATAAACAATTTATAACTGTGTCTTGTTTGTTTCGTTTCATTCAAGCCGCACAGTGAAGTTTCCAGGGGCGTACCAAAAGGGGTATGCATACTCGTGCTTTCGAAAAGTATGGAAAATTGATAATAACTGTGAAAAAATTAAGGTGATCAAGGCAATTCATCAAAAACTGTTCTAATCTTGAAAGGTTGGTAGACCTTTTAAGAATCATTTCAATAAAATAATGAAATGGTTGTTGTTAATGAAATGGTTTTTGCTTGTCTCCAAACAAAAGTTTAATGGGCAAAAGCGCAGACAAAATAGCTACGTAGCTATTGCGTAGCTATATTGCCCAGCTATTTAGCCTGTGGCAGAAGTATCGAAATCTATCCAGTATCCATATAAGAAGATATTATTTATTCGGTTTTAATATTTAGAAATAGGTACTCAATTATACTTAATGTAGTAAGTATAGTAAATAACATGCTGAAGATGTAAAATAATACAATCTTGTATAAACGTAAAATACCTTTCAATAATTTTGTCAATATTAATACATATTTTTTAGCAAATTAGAAAATTTAGAAATTTAGAATGAAAATTTCTTTAACATTATACAGGGTGTTTCAGGATCAAGTCGACAAATTTTAAGGAGATATTCCTCATAAAAAAATAAGAAAAAATCAATTTTTTTTTTCCAGAGATGCTTCATTTTCGAAATATAGGACGTTAAAGATTTTTAACAAAAATTCGAATTTTTAAAATAACTAAATGAAGAAGGCTATTTAAGCCAAATTTGGCATGACACATGTTCTTACAAAATACCATTTTTCTTTAGAAGTAGAAGTCCCGCAAACAACCAATGGCGGAGTTATGGCGACTCAGACTCATTAAATTATAAAAAAAATTAATACGGCCCTGCTGAAAATAAA